TGAAGCAACTCGGGGGTGGGTTAGTTATACTGTAAAAATTCCTGCCGCAAAACAGCCTCACCTTATCCCAGACACGTTGCCCCGCGACCACTAGAAAATAAATTTAGCCCGAACGGGCGTGCGCCTAAACAGTCACAAACGTACACGCCCCACTTAAACACACAGCAAGATAAGGCCTCGATTCAGCTCCGACGCATTTATCGAAACAGTCGAAAGCACAGTCCCACACTCTCCCGGGAATGACTTAACACCCTCAGCGCACATCCTAACCTCGCCGGTTGCCAGAGACGGCAAATCAGGGCTCTGCACACAACAAGACTCCCCTTTGAGTGTCTTCCCTCGGAATTTCGCCTGACAGTTGTGGTACTCCTCAGCACTCCCCTATCAGGATTTTGTCGTCTTCGGCATTTCGAAAAGCCAGCACCTGGTCACTGCGCCGCCTTAGGTACGTGTGAACGAACTCGCAGTGACCTGATACTGTAGATCGCGGCGACGAATCTCAAGGCCAAAATAGATTTCTTAGGAACCACGATGTTAAGTAGGAAAATCCCAGTTGGAAAGTGCTTGCTGTGGACCGTGGATGCGGGAATGTCGATTAATGTATATTGCTAACCGACGTGATTGCTGAGGCACAGAAGCACGACAGACGGTGTGAGTTCCTGAGCAGATGACTAGGTCTCAGCCTACAGCTTATTTGAAATTATACGAGACGTATTTAAAGCGCTAGAAATTCGTTCATGACTGTTCCAGAGTGCCATACCACACTACCTCATCAGCCTTCGTTGGATTTGTTGGTGATTAATGAAGGTAAGTTAACAGCGGTGCTATTAATTCGTGACTGCTTATTCGACAGACGTAGCACTGCCTTGTCTGATAGTCTTCACTACAGCAGGTCGTTACGACCTTTAAAAGGGGCCAGTTACCAGTTTGATTGACGCATAACTGTAGACTTCCTGGGATTTCCGACGAGCCCTGTTACACGACGAATAGGAGTCAACAGAGGGGCTTGCCTACTATCCGACCTCGTGCGGATCCCCGTAAAGGGCGAATTACCGCATGGATTTTTCAAACTACAATACTGACGACGGAAAACGATTAGATGACGTGGTTGCAGTCCGCTAACGATAGGAGCGCAAGCATTAAAAGCCCGAGCATCAGAAGAAACAAACTGTAATTAGTACAATCCGACTGCACTTCAACGACGGAAAAAGACCTTGATAAGAGGTCCTCATGAAGACCAAGCCTGTATTCATTCATGCAGAAAGGAAACATTCGCAGGAAGGAGTGTGGGGGATAATGGGGGGGGGGGGCGGTAAGGAAGTGAAATATGGTCCAAGCGGCGAGAACGCGCGATAACAAGTACAAACAGTTGCAAAAGCAAGAAACGCTGGCGGTGTGCTTATAAATCCTTCGATTTTTGATGCTCGCAGCTTATGTCTCGAACGCGCTGAAAAGATCGTTCAAGTCTGACAGCGCGCAGCCATGCGGGGAGGGCTAGAATGTAGGTTAGGAACATCTCATGAGGAAGGTAACCGCAACTGTCTCTTCTTACACCCAACATAGACAGGGCCGACGCCGCAAAAGTGGAAGGAGCGGGTGCAATTAAGTTCGGACGCTCGACTTTTGACAAGCCAGTCGCTAAAATGCTGGGCATAATAGCCTGCACCTTGACACAGGTGCCTTCTAATTCGCCAGCTAATGAGGCGGTAAAATTATTTATAAAGGCCTTGGCGCCAGCGTAAACAGAAAGGTAAGGGGTGGGAAAGCAACCAGTGACTGACGAAATATTGACAATGTAGCGATGGACGCCAGCCGGTGGTGGGGAACTTAGCATCTTTGGCAGGGTAATGCGGGTCATGCAAGTCGTTGACGTTGCGTTGCAGACAATCACATCCTGCAGTTTCTTGAGAGTCAGATCATCGCATGTGGCCAGGGCGTCCAGATGGGAGTAGGAGATGCCGACGTTATTGATGAGAATGGAAACTGAGGAAAGTTCTTCAATTTTCAGCCTCAAATTTTCATAAAAGTCGGTCTAAAAGAAGAAGAAGAAGAAGAAGAAGAAGAAGAAGAAGAAGAAGAAAAGAAAGAAGAAGAAAAGGAAGGAAAGTCAATGAACGACGCATCCATGGTGGAGCAAGAAGGCAGCACAATATGAACAAGATCTGCGGGAAGAGGGTTGCTACAACTAGTTGCTGAAGGAGCATGACAATTCTAGGTCACATCGCAATACGAAATTCAGGTTTCCGTCATATTCTCTGGGCAGAAAGACACCGTGAGTGACGATCAACAAAGCGAATGGGGAAGAGAAGTTCAGCCGGTAGCTTAACTGCTGGCCATCTGGTGCGTTCACATCAAAGCCTGATGGAGACCCTAAGACAAGGTGACCTTGAACTGCGAATAAATAAGTTGATTTGTCATCGTTGCCTTAATCCACAGCTCTTACCGTAGGAATAACCTCGAACAAACAGATCGAGTGGCTGTTTAAAAACTGTCTGTTTGCAATATTCCCAAGAAACCTGGTGGAAATGCCCGACTTGAGCACTAGTGCTTTGACCGCAGGGACCGACGCGCTCCGAAACCCTGGTGTAATGGTGCGGGAGAATGGTACGCGAGTTGAACTAGGCAATCGGAAACGGATACTTGTCATTGGACGCTGGGATATGCAAACGCTCCTCCACCCTGGTGCACAAAGTCTGGCAATGCATAGGGTTTATGAGTACAACGTGAATGTCTGCTGTCTGCTTGGAATCCGGATCCGAGACTCAGGCCCACAGGGTCAACTTCAACTTTACCCTATATCACAGAGACCCACAAGATTCTTCTGGTAGGCATGGTCGGGGGTTAAATTTCTGGAAACAATCAAACAGAAATCCGGCCTCGCTTTACGACTCCAGTTTAAGGCGCTGCAGTGATCAAATGTACTCAGGGATCTTACAGTTATCTGTCTGGACAGTTAGAGTCGTTAACCACAAATCATGACAGCAAAATCGGCTAAAGATTACCGCAGAATCTATGGGGTTTTCGTGGCGACCTCTAAAAGGCCGAATTTAAACATCAGAGACACTGGAAGGACTTGCCAAATTATTAGCCAATTTAGTGATGGGCGTTCTGCAGTGAGTAACTATGTTCGTGATGTGGGTGGTTGTCTCAAAGCTTAGGACTCGACCAAGGTTGCCAAGCCATTAGCTTAGTCTCTGTTCCGCAGCAGTTTCATCCCTCTACATCCTGCACAGTGTCCTGCGACCGCTTTTCTCCGGAAGAAATGTCAACGCGACGAGGTGACTGAGCTCGTCCCTAATGACTGGGACTCAGCTATCTTTGTCTTACCCTCTTCCTGAAGACAGACACAAAGGGACAGAACTACCACAACACAGGCCTCAATGACAATGCCGTAACGACCTTCGCCATTGTGGTTACCAGAAGGCTTCTAGATGCAGTTAGAAATAGGTAAAGAATTAAACAAGCCGGCTTCCGCGCTGGGCGTGGATGCACTGATCAGAGACCTACACTGCGGAGCATCCTAGAATTCAACCGGTACCACCAGCAACCGACAGTCGTCTGCCTTTATGCGGCGTTCGATTCCGTCCATAATGAACCCCTGTGTCGGATAATGCAGTCAGACGATGTTCCGGCAAAACTTTCGTCATGATCAGGGTCCATTATCGTTGCATCATTGCGAAAATTCTGATATGAAGGCATTCGACAGGACTGGATTCTAAAACCCATAATGTAGAAACACACTTTGACTGGATTACCGAAAGTGCTTTACGCGGTTCCGATGGTGTCAAATTAGTATTCACGAGCCGACAGACTAACTTTTACTACACTGACAATACCGCCTTGCTAGCGTCACGCAATGAAGACCTACAGACTCAGGTGTTGTAGGCGAATAAACTCGTCAGGCTAATCCGTTTACCCCTAAACTCTCGGAAATCTAAGGTGCTGTCGGGCTGCATTTCTGGTTACCAGAAGGCACCCCTTAGGATTAATAAATGCCAAAATTGGGACACTGAAAGTCTCAAGTACTTCGAGTAAGGAAGGAGCTGTATCGCGAATCAATGCTACTCGCAGGGTTTCCCAATCCAAAAAAATGTTTCTATAGACCAGGCATGACAGCCATCATTACAAACATTTAGTCTGTCCTCTGAATGCAGAGCCACGCCGGTGGACGATGAACAAGGACTGGAAATGCTTGACCACCACTGTCTAAGAAGCATCCCTCGGATGAAATACATCGAGCTCGTTTAGATTTAGACAGCCCCCACTCGCTGCTACATCGTTCAACCTACGAGTTCAGTGATGTCGCCCCAGAGTCGTTGCCGTTACCCATCAGTAGGCATCAAAAAGTTCAACTCAAAACCTGGTCACCCCCTCCCGTCAGTGCATGGGAATACTTTTTAGACAATCAGTATTTAGTCTTCGTAACTGTAAGGGAGCATGGTTCAAGCATCCCAGTTTCGTTGCCGCGGATCGTTATGTGTGCAGAGGTATAAGCAGCAACATTATCGTTACCGGCTGGGACATCCATGGCAGGTGCAAGCATGCACGAACGAAACTGTATCGCGAATTAATGCTAGCCGCGGGATTTCACAATCCCAAGAAGATTTTTACAGACTTAGCATGACAGCCATCGCTACAAACATGCATGCGTACCGGGCATCTGTTCGATCTGTCCTGTGAGTGCAGAGCTACGCAAGTGGACAATGAACAAAGGCTGGAGATGTTTGACCACAATTGTCTAAAAAGCATGCCTCGGGGGAAATACATCGAGTTCGTTCGATTTAGACAGTCTCCACTCGCTGCTACATCGTTCGAGTTCAGTGATGCCGCCCCAGAGTCGGTGCCGTTACCCATCAGAAGGCATCGAAAAGTTCAACTCAAAATCTGGTCACCTCGTCCCGTCAGTATTTGGTCTTCGTAAATGCAAGAGAGCATGGCTCGAGCAGCCCAGTTTCGTTGCCGCAGATCATTACGTGAGCAGAGGTATAAGCAGCAACATTATCTTCACCGGCTGGGACAGCCATGGCGAGCGCATGCATGCACAAACGAACAACCAAAATCGGCCGCGCCAACCGCTTGTTAATTTAATCAGCTTTATCAGACTGTCAACAAGCTGCTACCTGTATGCGTTTATTATGAAGTTAATTTCAAAAGAAAGCCAACTCGGAAAGCGAAGACGTGTTACCCATGCATAAACATTCTAAGCTACAAGGGCAGATTCAACAAAGAACTTACGGTGGTGAAGTCGGCGGTGAAAATTTGGGTCTTTACTTTGAAAAGGGACTCGATTTCATTGGACACCTTGGTTAGTTTTTCGGTTGACCGGCTTATAAGGAAAATGTTCATTCCATCTCGGGCCAACTCGTGGGCCAATGCTTTGCCGAGACCATCTGTCGCACCAGTTATGATAGCCCAGTCGCCCGCTTTTTTCAGGTCTGTCCGTTTGGAGAGGAAGAATCGCAACAGAAAGTAGGTTATGAATGGGCGGAAGAAGTAAAACACGCGATAGGCCGCGGCGATGATTCCAATTGCGGTAAACACAATTAGCAGCGACATGGTGGATGGCCCCAAATAGAAAATCGGCGCGAGATTAGGTTGGAGATTTTTAACGGAAAGCTAAAAAAGAAAGAATTGACCAACGATGAGGTTACTTCATATGGATTTCAAGACCTATGGAAGAAACAGTTCTGTGCGTGTTAAGGACAAAAGCCTAAGCCAGAACATAACAGCCAGGAATCGGTAAGGCTAAAAATAAGAGAAAGATGTTATAACCAGCAAATCAGGTCTTACGCTCTTAGTTATTACTCAGACTTGTAATAGATCTACTGAGTTGTCTATATATTGGTAAATAAAAACTGACGATGCGTATTTGTTCAGCGGCCAAAGTCTCCTACGTGACAATAATAATTCAAAACATGGGTTCGAAGTGAAATACTTCTAAATATTTTTAAATAGGGGCCCGCAAAGGGGAAGAAATCATAACCAAATATTCCTCTATGCACAAATATAGTTTTTAGGTTTGAAAGAAGATTAAACAAAAAATAAGAATCGTTAATACGTATATAAGCGGTCAACAGTCACGTGACAGGTTCCAGTTCTCTATGAAATAAAATGAGCTCAGGCAAAGTCGGTTCTTAAAAGATTGCGCCTTCCTGCCACCACTACAAAGTCGGCCAAAATAGCCACGTCATGTGGAAGTGGGCATCACAGAATTACCACCAAAAAACTGCCAGGGCAATGCTATGCTCTTTAGAGAAACTAATGCTCAGGCAGAAGGTCAAACTCCCCAGGATGCTCAAGTATGGCTGGTGTGGGTTCTCACACGCCGTCGACCTGAAAACCTCCAACACAACAGTAAGACTCAATGATTTAGGAACTGATGACGCAAAAAACGTAAATATTTATTACTGCAATTGGGTAACGAATCGTTTCCACCTAGTAACCGACTGGCTAAGGAATAAAAGTGGCTAAGTGTAGCAAATATAATGCGATGAATCGCAGCCGGTTGCGAAGAGCACTTAAAGGCAACAGAAACAGACATGTCAGTGGTCGGCAACGGGAGGTTCTTAGAGATCTCCTGATTCCATCTTAATCTTGGGTGCAGTAAATGACCTAAGGATAATAAAAGGCTTGGCATCAGAAGCCTGCTTTAATTAACTGTGCGGATGTCCGCGAGACGGTGTGGCGCCACAGAAAGCTTTGAAAAAGATTATTTAGGTACTTACCTTTGCTTTGAAGGAAAACCGCCGTCGAACACTCTGGACGACCAGGCCTACACCGGACCAACAGGTGTTTAAGTGCATAGTGTACAGTGCGTGACCTATCTCATGAAATGTTGGCCGAAATTCTGAAATGCGTTGTCGATTAGGAAGGATTTCTTGGTCGCGGTTGTGATACTGATTATTATAAGGCATACTCTTATAACATTTTAGACTTGGCAGGATGTCGGCTTTTAAATAAACTTCTTTTTAATCTCCTTTGAAAGCGTGCTTGGTAAAAAAATGACTACTTAATTAGCATGCATTTTCCCCATTGATTTTCGATGGTCTTGGCAATTCAAATATATGTTATAGATACCACAAACAAAAGTGTGCTTTCTTTTAGACAATCAATAGAGAATCACGTCTTCTTTATATTTTATACTTAAGGAAGGAGTATAATTAGGTTTTAAAAAAGTTTTCTAATTGCCGAAAAATTTGGAGCCTGACCATTTGTTGCATTAACGCTTAGTGATTACACTCTATAAGATGCATGTTTTCCGCGTTAAGACAATCCCATATTTTTCTATGTCATTAAAGAGATATCATACAGGGTCCATAAAATTTTGCAATGGATGCGGACCATGTTGTACATTTCATGAGGAGCAGTGGTAAACGGCCAGGTACGATGCTATGTGAATGAACATATCGCGGTCTTAAAAAGTCTCATAATTATAAACTTTTTTAAAACCTAATTATACTCCTTCCTTAAGTATAAAATATAAAAAAGACGTGATTCTCTATTGATTTTCTAAAAGAAAGCACACTTTTGTTTGTGGTTTCTATAAAATATATTTGAATTTCCAAGACCATCGAAAATCAATGGGAAAATGCATGCTAATTAAGTAGGCATTTTTTACCGAGCACGCTTTAAAAAGGAGATTAAAAAGAAATGCATTTAAAAGCCGACATTCTGCCAAGTCCAAAATGTTATAAGAATATGCCTTAAGATTATCAGTATTACAACCGCGACCAAGTAATCTTTTCTAATCGAAAACGCATTTCAGAATTTCAGCCAGCATTTCATGAGATAGGTCACGCACTGTAGATCTCCAATAGGCGTAAGATTAGACGAGTGAGTGCGTAAAAATGCGAGCTTAAGGCAGGAAATAAGTGGTATGAGGCTGGAAAAATAGGCGACCTGGGCGGTAGATAGTCGGAGCTGAGCAATCTCTGCAGCTTCTTAACTGTGCATGACCTCACGTGTCCTCTGCAGTAAGGTGCACTGTTTCCAAACAGACTTTGAAGAGCTCAAGATTCTTGGTCCCCAGGGTATACACTTGAAGGATTTCGGTCTTACGGTCTTCGGATATAGCTTGCAACGGACATAAGCATAAGCACTAGCCGATCCGGTTGTGGTCTCGTGTTAGTTGCAGAACGCGTGGGAGGCTAGTGCAGGTTGCCCGCGCAAGAGTATAAAAAAATCGGCTACGGAGCGCCTAGTGGAATACAAGTGGACATCAGCTACCAGATAACTTTACTGTCCAAATCCGTGCATACCTGAACTGACTTATACCTCCTTTGCATAACATAACCAGAGCTACTTTCTGGTCACTGCAAGGTAGTCATAGACACTCTGGCTCAGACGGCAGTCGCCTGCGTGTGCAAGTGCATTTTACGTGACCAGGCGGACGGTATAGACTGTCTGACCTTGAGTCAGCAATAACCAAGCGTCTAAAAAGGTCGCTGGATAGCTACGGTCAACGAAAAACGAGTCACAAGTAAATCGAGATGAGAGTGGCAAATTGATTGCCATTTATTAAGAACTAATTCTGACTTGTAGACAATATCCCAGGATTATTTACTGATTCCCCGCCTGCGTGAACAAAGGGATCATAGAAGCGGTTCAGCAAAGCTATGTACATATTCAGTTATTTTATTTTTAAATATAACTATTCGACAATAACCGCCTGTAAATTAACTCTGGGTAAACGGGGGTGGGGGCAAAGACAAGAAAAGGAATGGATGGGAGTATTAAAGGGCATTGGGTTAAGCAAACGATTCCACGCGTGGCATATTACCCCCCTTTTTCGCCGACGGCGTATCATATCGATTAATCGATATCTCATATATATATAGACGGGGCTGGTGCTAGCAGGGTATCTATTTTTGCGAAAAAACTAATGGTAGGTAATGAGTCTTGTTACAGAAGATTGGTAGGTGATATGAAGAAAGATGGCACGCATAGGCCTAATCCATCTGGTGGAAGTAGTCCGACTTGTGGGTAAACCAGCTTTTCCCTTATAAATAGAAAATGAGAATTCATGGGTTGTTGAGCAGACGGTAGGAGGAGATGATACAGGTAATCTGATGTCGGGAAGTGGGCAGCAGTCATGAAAAAAAAGATGAGCGCAGACCAAACCTAATTTGGGTCGAACCGAACGCACCCCGCGCTAAAAAATTCAGATGGGCGCAACACGTATGAGCAGCGCGCTGCAAAACCCGCAAGGTCACCTATTGCCTTGATCGAAGGAACTTTAGCACGTTTAAATCACAGTCTTAAATATGTAGCCTGCGCAATTGGTAGTAGTCAGAGACTAAGTGTGTCAAAGGTACTGTAGGGGTTCTAAAGCAGAGCGTCCGTATCCTCTTAACTTTTAATTATGTGCTTAGGATTCCCGCTGAAGTTCTGAATGAGGGTTTCAACATTTTGCCTAAGCATCTGTCTATGACGCTCGGCGTCTAACCACAGCGTATGCCCGGATTTTTGTTGGTTGAAAATATCTTTTCTATATGAGAAGGTTTCCTGAGGATAAAAGCAAACACATGTTTTTGGCTGTCTGTGAGGTAAGTCTGGACAAGATGCAGGCCAGTGTGCACGTAATCCCCTCCTCGTTCGCCGTGCAGGTACCACTGTGTTTTCCGAATATGCTTATGTACTGAATTGCTAGTCTATATCAACGACTAACTATAGAATTTTTCACTTGAATCGTAACAGACATAATTAGTATGTTATTTAATTGGAACCGAATTTGTCCCATTTGACACCCATTCCTGTACCCTTGTGTCTCGGATTTTGTCCGGTAAATTTTGTCTTCGATGCTGGTACCAGAGCTTATATAGGTCAGTATATTTTAGGGGTAATAGGCAGTGCCTTTGAAAACCCTATTGCAAACGGTACATGCAATATTTAGCCTTCAATAAACAGGCACTAAAATGCTACCAGTAATATATACATCTAACGGAATATTGTCTTCAAAAGGCAGGGCCGAAACTTGAAAATACTCAGGTGTATTTGATAATGGTACAATGAGACAACAATCATCTGCATCGCCGGTAGATGCAAACAAGGCGTTCGGTTGGTGTAACAGAACTGTTCTGTCCTGATAGGCGGCAATTTCCAAACAAATATACATCTAGTCTTCGTTTAAATGTCTCCGTGGAATCCGCCATTATCACACCCTCGGGAATCTCGTTCCAGCCACCGAAGACTCGCTGCGAAAAAGAGCACCTGCGAACTTCCAGGCAGCATCGGGATACTCTAAGTTTTAGAGACTTCCCTCGCCGATTTGTTGTTGTGAGCAGGGTAAAGAAATTGTCGAGGTTTAGGACACCGTCCCGGCTCCTCAAAATTCGGTACGCCTGTATGAGGTCCTCTTGGATCTGCCTGTACTCAAGAGAAAATTGCTTAATCTCATCAAGTCTGCAGTTGTAAGGTAAAGTCTTGAGGCCTTTCACAATTTTGGTCGCTCTCATTTGAACTCTTTTCAGCAACTTGTGGTCTTTTTTCAGTCACGGGCGCCCTTTTGGATTCCATATTCCAGGCGCGAACGCATAATGCTCCATATACTTTGCAAA